CAAGGGTAGGCACCTAACAGCGGTGAAGCAGGCCGGGTTAGGCGGCGTACTGCGGCAGAATAGTGGGTCCAACGGAGCCGGATCTCGGTAACTGCTCCGGCGAAGCCGGAGATATCAATCCGGGCTCTAGCCCGTGACAAAATATAACCTACTAAACTACTAATTATATAAAGTACTTATATAACTATATATATTATATAATTAATATTATAGTTATAGATTATAATAAATAGAGTATTTTTATATGGGATTTTATACTTTAAACTTTATTAGTTTACTTTATATAGATTATTAAAGTAAGTTAAGTATTATTATTATTCTTATATTATCATTATTATTATAAAAGAATGTTATATATTGATATACTTCAGCTAAATAAGCTAATAGAATAGTAATAATACTAGCTATACTATACAAAGCTAATAGCGCTATATATAGTAGAGAAGCTATATTATAACTATAAACTTAATAAACATAAGGCTATATTTTATTAGAAAGCGTAGAGATAGGTACTAGTAGTTAGAAGAGACTAAAGAGTTTATAAAAAGGCGTGTATTACTTAAGAGGAAGTTACCCTCCCAAGCGTCCTTAAATCAGCAGCTCGCGAGGCTCCTGCTAGTCACGTGACCCGCTCCCTCAGTGAGTCTCGCTGAGGGGGCCGCGCAAGGCAGAAGGCGTATCACTAGATAAACCGCAACATAGGTTTACTATGCTAAGCAGGGTAAAATCATTACAAACAGTTAAAGGCTTAAAGAGATAAGAGGACGAAACCAAGCTCACGCAGTAGAAATGCACGCTGATAACAGCCTGAGTCAATGGCGATTGGGTTATGACGTCTAGTTCACTACCTATACCTTAATACACTTGACCCGACGAAGTAGAAACCCAAAGAAAAACATAGTAGAACTGACGCGGCGAGGTGGCTGAGTTCTGGCTCCCTCCAGTCCATGCAGGAAAGATGACACTTAGTGGCAACGAGATTATGTTCGGCCAAGAGCCACATTCTTCCAGTGATCACGCTCAGCTTCCAACTTTCGAATCTTCTCCTCCAAGTCCTCAAAGCGTTGAGCCTTCCGCTCGCGAGACTTACGAGCCGCAAGAGTGTTCCGTGCCCGCTTCATAGCGACAACGTCGCTAGGATCTTCTACGATGATGGGAGGCAAAGGTTTGTCCCGCTTTCGAGAATTCACACCAGCCACAGAAGAGTGGCGGCCGGAGCCGGACGGTGGAGAGCCACTCGACTTCCGCCGCGCGGAGGCTGAAGTGAACTCAACGACTTCAAGGTCTTCTTCCGCAACAGCAGGAGACTGCCCAACATTCTGTTGAGTGTCCTTGGGCGGGGCGGTCTCCTGGGGGAACAGAGGGAACCAAGGATCAGTTGAACCGGTTTCGAAATCACCAGAGCCAAAATTGGGAGAAACGTCGTAACCGTCATTGAAGTCTGGCGACTCGTTGTAGACGGACGGAGAGGTTAACGCAGTGAATGCCGTCGAATTAGGAGCCGACATGAACGGCTCCTGAATCAGCAGGTCTTGGGGAGAAACAGTGCCCAGGTTGCTCGCCCCAGATGCGCTACCGCCGAGGTCGAAGACAGATGGCATAGCTGGGGACGAGTATGTGGTAGAAGCACCACCCTCGAACCCGGTGAAGTCGTCCAGATCGAGTTCTGACAATCGTAAGCAAGGCGGATACGAAAACGGAGGCAATTGCATGATACCTTGCAGTTCCATCTTAGACGATCTCTGGGAAGTCTGACCAATACTCTGGGAGAAAAGCGGGACCGGGGGCAGATGACGACGGGATTGCTGCTGAAGAGCAAGTGAAGACGACGGAGCTGAAGCAGCGTAAAACTGGGCTTGGTGTGCGGGAGAGGTGAATCGATAAGCAACCAGGGACGACGGAGACCTCGAGTGGTCTGCTGCCTGGATCTGGGCTAGTCGTTGGTTCTGACGGATGAGAGATTGGCGTCCGCGTTGCTGATGCTGACGGAGCTGATGCGACGAGTGACGGCGGTGCTGTATATCAGAAGCACTAGACTGCTGAGTGTAGTGTCTAGGTTGACTGGGCCGTGGGGCAGGCTGATCGAACAAGACGAAGTCCTGTTGTGGTTGCTCGACGGGTGGGCTGAACTGTTGTTGCGCGGGTTGTGCCGGCAGGCTGGGAGAACTGGAGGGAAGCCATGGTGATTGGGAATCCGTGGTGAAGACTGGAAAGTCTTGCGAGTAAATGGTGGAAGAGGAGGAACCTGAGCTGAAGCTTTGTGTAGCTGGGCTGAAGTTCAGATCGACCTGGGAAGGTAGAGCTGAGGGTGAAGACTGAGTGGGGAGAATGTTGCCGAAGTGGTGAGACTGAATTTTGTCTGGTTGTGGGGAGCAGCCGAAGAGGGCAGTTAATTTAACGCATCTTGAGAAGCCTTTATGGCGACAATAAATTGCTGTGTATTGAGGAAAAATGGTGAGGGTATGATGAGGAAGGAGAAATTGGAGATAGGTGTTTTGTGGGCGAGCAACTAGCTTTTGTAGCCTTTCAGGCAACCGCAGGCCAAAACGACAAGCGCAAGCCGAAGGGCGCGCGGTTGGCAAAGCCCTGGAATGAAACGGCATTGATGGCCGGTAGAAAGTACAGATCTAGGAGGTATCCCATGCCTACCCGGGACGCCCAAAACTTCGCAAAATGGCCCACAAGCTGGTCGACCAACAGCCTTGGAATACTGCTACTGGATGTACCCTGCAGCCCCTTCCATACAGGTCTCGCTCCGCCCTCCGTGTAATCCATGGTCCGGGATGATGTGTGACTCACACTCTGCGGCGCCAAACCATTAATGGCCTAGGACAGAAGCAGTGACCGGGCACAGTACAGTGCGCGTCAACAAGGCAAACAGGCAAACAGGCGAACGGGCTCCAGACCTTAGAAATCAGCCTAGGCGCCGGACGTCTCTCGCCTGCCTAATTTCCACGCACTGCCCACCTCACACCAACGCCGACCACAAGGAAAAAGACACGCTAAAGTACAGTACTTTTCCAGTTCGCTAACTGACTGTCCTGAGAGATACCGACAACTTTGATTGGCGCCATCTTCGGCCAGCCCAAACGGGAAACGCATAGGTACGTACCAGCGACAACTCCGAGGACAAGATCACGGATGAGCCGGGTACGAATCCACTGCACTGCACACTCTTCAACAGTAGATTCAACACGTATATCTTCCTTTATTTGCTCACTTTGCTCCTGCTGAAGTATCTAGTAAGATACTTCAAACCGTATGCAGTGTACGCATACACTTCTGTATCAGGCAATTCTCGTACTTATTTTATCGATGAACGAGGTTCCGTTTTCGCCAGGTCTCCGCGAAAACAGACAAACATACATCATATCTGGCAGGCCCGGTAGTCCTTGCTATCCATGGACTCTGGATACAGCGTTGCCAATCAGCCAATCATTTAGACCAATTGATTCAGTGATAACCAGCGCCCCAGTTCACCCTGTTTCCCGCCTGTGACTCATGTTCCCCAACTCTCCCCGCAGTCTCTCGTCTCGTAGTGTTTTAAATGACCGATCTCATGTTGCACATGCTCCATATGTGCATGCCCACTATGTCTAGCATAATGATCAACTCCGACGTTGTTCGCCAATTTCCAGACCTCCACCGATCCGCACACGCACTCCCAAAAAGACTGCCATTGGAGGTGGCTGGGCTCAAAAGGTAGAAGACTTGCCCGAGATCAATTCGCTGGATACGCAGAATTGAAGGTCGATATGGCCTGTCTCGCATCATATAATTTATTTATGAACCATGCTAACACTGTCGCAATGGAATTGTCTCGCCCGAAACGTTTCCCTCCATACGCGGCATCAACAAGCCACATCATGCTCGGGATATTCCATGAGCCGTTGAGGTGCCGACGGTAAAAGCTCGGGCCTACAAAAATCCGAGATCGGTTCAACCCCTCAATGCCGACATCCATCATCGCCTGGCCCACGTAGGTGATGCAACTGGGGACACAACATGCCTTCTCGCGATGGCATCCTCTGCCCAATCCGTCAACTCGCGGGGTGAACTCTGCAATGAGGTTGGCTTGTCCTCCAAGATATACGGTTGGACTGCCTGCACCTGCACACTGCTGCCTAGTCATGCCTTGGTCAATTTGACCTTTTCCAACAAGTGATCGTCATCGCCATGCGTTTCCAGTATTTCGTTGTCGATGATATCCTTGTAACCATCTCGGAAGTCTCTCATCAGTAGCAGGAACCTCGAATTTTTCCACTTGTCACCTTGCTCGTGTTGAACCGATTCCAAAATTTGTCTTGCAGCCTCGGAAATTTCTGATTGCCCCGGGCTAGCAAGATCGGCTGACGTTGTATCGGCCATGTCATCGAGACCCAGCCGCAACACATCGGGGAGCTGGTTGGGTTGGGATGTGCCAGAGGGAGCCTGGACAGAGTGGTCTTTCTCCTCTACGGATGTCTCACCATCCACGGTGGCTGGCATGAGTTGTTCACCGCGAAGACTGATGCCAAGGGTTCTGTCGTCGTTTTGGGCAGCCGTTATTTCTTCTTGCTCCATCTGCCGCGCGAGCTCCTCCATGATGGCGTCAATATCTTCTAATCGGCTGTCCCCATGAGCAGCCATCCACCTGTCCATTTCGAGATCAAATTCAGCCTGAACAGCGTCAGCGCCGTGGCTTGTAGGCCCATTTTCCACGAGTGCCCCAGGATCTCCGACAGGCCTAAAGAAAGGCGGCCTTGAGGGAAATGTCATCATGTTTGTCGCGAAGTCTGCGGAGCGAAGTGAGCTATTTTGTGTGATTGGACGAATGAGCGCCGAGCTGCTTGAGGCTGGAGTGTTTTGAGAGAACCTTGCAAAGTCCTGAGCCCAACCTGTCGCTTCTGGGGGTGCATTTGGTATGTGGTATGGGCGGCGGGCCGCGCTTTCGTCCACAGAGGGTATAGTATTGGACAAACGGGAAGTAGAGGCCGGATTGTTCATCGAAAGGCGTCCGTCATAGTGGTTTACGAGATGCGGTGCTATGGAAGGACTAGGTATTGGCCGTGAATGAGAGCTTGGCGCATTCGTGGTTAAAAATGCGCCGAAGTCATGCTGTGCTTGAGGCGAGGACATCGAGCCACTAGACCTGAAGGCCTATTCAATGTGTTATAAGCGCTCTGGATACGGAGAGGTAGATACAAACATACATGTTGACTAGCAAATGTGGTGGAAAAGCGATCCTGGTGGAGGCTACGGTCTTGGCCGCCGTGGTCGACGAGACTCTTGAACGGCGCTGAGCCGCTACAGGAGTTGTCACCCATTCTCAAGAAGGAACCTCAAGGAGCCTGAGCGGATTAAAAGTGCAAATGGTAGACGTAGAGTAAAGAGCCCAGGGTGAAGAACCACCCGCCGTTCTGCTTCTCTTCTGCCTGATTTGGTCAGCGGTCCAGCGGTCCAGCGGTTCAGCGGTTCAGCGGCTGGAGTGTATGTGACGGCCGGCAGGTAATGCGAACGAGAAGTCGAGGCTGCTACCGTCGAAGCCTGAAATGGACTAATCAAGAGTGTGGAAGAAAAGCCCGCGAGTTCTTGAAGTCTGCGTAAAGCCGATAGCACAAAGTAAGTAGGGGATGTGACAGGAATATAACCTTTCCTTGTGAATGACGGTCATCATTCTGAATCGGCCTACCTCGGCACAACGCGGTACGTACCGACGGTGTCAAAAGACGTGGTTCTCTTCTCTGTGGCAGGATCTAGGATCTCACCGCCTGCTTAATCAGGCTTTACTCACTTCCGCCCCCGGGCGGATTGAGAGAGGGCGGTGGGGTACTTCCCGCAAGTACCTTCTTTCCTCAAGACGAGGCCAGCTTGCGGAGACCCACTTTGCAGCCAGCTTGATCAAACCTGAGGAGCTCTTGGATTAGGTGGCTCGTCAACATCTACTACGACTGCGACAACACTTCTTCTACCCACACTTCGACGGCGGTAGTCACTGTCTTTTCTCTACCAACCCCTTCTGACTGGCCCTCACTTAAACGACACATACCTTTCGATCAGAACGGCTTGCAACCTAAAACAAACTTCCCCGCCATGGTGATTTTGCACCTACTTCACCTCCCAGTTGTTGCTTCTTGCCTGCTGACACCCATTGCAGGCGTCCGCTCAGGTCATTTCAAACTCTGGCCACGATGATATGATTGTAAGTGCAAATGACACCCACGCCAGCCACGGGAAATCGCCACGGCCTCCGACTGCCACCGCAAGCGACTCCACGACGGGTGTAGATCTGGAACCGCTCTCCGATTCTCATACCCCCGGGTTACTACTCTATCATCAAGCTCTTGAGGCTAACCGAAATCCTTTTTGCAGCACGACGCCGTCCTCGACTACTATGGTCGCCGGCTCGCGACTTGCTCGAGCGACCGAACGATCAAGATATTCGAGATAGAGGGTGATTCTCAACGACTTATAGAAACCCTCAAGGGGTAGGAATATGTCTCATTACACGCCTATCAGCTTTCAGACTGACGCAGCAGTAGACACGATGGTGCGGTTTGGTGTGTTTCCTGGGCTCACCCCAAGTACGGAAACATTATCGCTTCGGCGGGTTACGACGGCAAGGTCTTCATATGGAGAGAGCAGAACAAGCAGTGGCAAAAGATCTTCGACTTCGCTCTGCACAAGGCTTCCGTCAACATTGTCTCCTGGTCACCACATGAATCCGGATGTCTTCTTGCCTGTGCCTCGTCCGACGGCAATGTCAGTGTGCTCGAGTTCCGAGACAACAGCTTCGACCACGCTACCTTCCCTGCTCATGGATTGGGCGTCAACTCCGTGTCGTGGGCCCCTGCAACTGCACCGGGTAGTATCGTGAGCAGTTCTCCAGGCCCTGGTTCTGCTGGCGTCAGACGGTTTGTCACTGGCGGCTGTGACAACCTGCTCAAAATCTGGACCTTCGATTCTGCGTCGCAGTCTTACAAGCCAGATCAGGAGCCCCTTGGTGGCCACTCCGATTGGGTGCGTGATGTTGCATGGTCACCCACTGTTCTACAAAAGTCCTATATCGCCTCAGCTTCTCAGGATAAGACCGTCCGCATCTGGACCTCTGATTCAACCGGCGCGAGCCAATGGAGCTGTAAAATCCTCAACTTTGATGCTCCCGTCTGGCGTGTGAGCTGGTCGCTGAGCGGCAACGTTCTGGCCGTAAGCGGAGGCGACAACAAGGTTTCCTTGTGGAAGGAGAATCTCAGAGGCGAATGGGAGTGTGTCAAGAGCATCGAGGAGTGATTCTAGTGCTGTCATGGCATCACAAGCAAGGCGTTCACGGAAAATTAGGGTTTAGATAGGTCAGCTCTCATTGATGATGTTCTATTACTCGATGTCGTTTGTTTTCAGGGATTGGTTCGCAAACGTCCCAGCCGGCTCGCTTCTCCTATTCTATGGCATCAGCCATTGGCCGCTGGACTTCTTTGCCAACAAGTATCGAGAGCGACGGCACGGCCAGCATGTTCAATTTATCTCATGCTGCCGCATAATTTCCCCAGCGATTTATGCTTCCTGCGTAGTGCACGAACCCCCCCTATTAAGCATAGGACATATTTGGCAATCAGCAAACCGAGTTCCTGCCCCTAGGCTATCGTCTCCTGCGCGGCCACCGCTCTTTTAGACGAGGGCGGCTTAGGTCGAGAGACAGCCCCGAAATGCATGATAGTTGAGAAACCGGACTGGCCCCAGCACCAGAAAAGCACGTGGAGGTTGTCCTGGCGAAATCCAACGAGATTGCCATCACGTGTATGGAGCACGTACTGCCTTTTCGCGCTACACCTATGGGCTTGCCATGCCCCCCGGGTATGATAGATGCTGGTAACCAGCGGAATATACAACTTCTGAGGCGTGGTATCGGCCGGCACTGAAGGACAACCTCCTTTCAATGCATATACTTCTTTTATACAAGCTAAACAGCCGGGCGCTCTACCTGGTGTACAACCGTGAAACCTGCAAGGCCAAGTGGAGGGTAAGATTGAGAAAGCGCGATAGACAAAGCCAAAATTAGGGGGCGAATAGTATACATATTAGGAACATCTGACCCGTATTATGAGATGTAAGAAACCCAGCATTTTTGCCTTTAGTTACTTCAAGGTGCGCTACCGCCAGATACCTACGTGTCCTCCGAACCATGAATCTGACCTTCTTAACTCAGTCCTTTAACGGAGGCCAATTACGCTCATCTCCAATGTCCAGACCCGCCGTATCCAGACTTTGAGCTTTCCCGGCACACCTTCCACATTTTCAAGTTCGACACCTTCCCACCAACAGCGCCTCGCCGGCTTGCGCCAGAACAAGAGCAACTTCTGAGCCATACCGACAGCATTGCTGCCCATGTCATTGCCCCGAATGTCACTTCTCAGTCGCGCTAGGGCGAGGCTACAGACGACTGCCTTGTTTGGTTCCCCAGCTCGGTGGCCCCAGCTATCATTGTGGTTGAAGCCGCTAGCATCGACAATTAGTCTCAACTGCATACATCGTGAATGAACACCTCTGTCAATTGCATAACTTACCCTGCTGTCAACATTTCGATAAGGTGAGCCTCCGTAGTGCCCGGCTCGTCACTTCTTTTCAGGCCAGAGAATATGCCATTCTGTTGAAGCAGCGCTTTGCCAGCCGCTCGCTTCACCTCTAACATCTCTGATTGCGTGATATCTGCCCGCGGCGGAATGACGTAGAAATCCAAGTCTTCTCGCAAAACAATGATGCCTGCCCGTTTAGAAGAGTCATCTCTTGATTCCATGGCGTCAGCAGCAGATGCATTCTCTTCCTGTGAGAGACTTGGAGACGTCTCGGCCGGTATCGACTGTGCCACAGTACGGAAGAAATCCAGCATGTATTGCAATGATGCTGGATCATACTAGCAATCAGTGTCAGTGATGGGGTCGGATGGCCTTTTGGCTTGTACGTACGTCTACTTGAACAGCGTCGCCTTCGGCGAATCCACCCATGTGACCTTCGGGGAAGAGCCCGTTCGGAAAGAGAGACAGGAGCACGAACTCAGGCAACGTCAATAGTTCGTCTCTCGAGAGAACAAATCTGGTACCCCTGCAGGACTACTGTTAGCCGTCCTCGTGTCTCACTCAGAGCAGCCACTGATCTTACCGAAGGTCCATGGAAATCGTCTCGTCGGCGCCGACATCTAGCACATTGTCAGTAGGTAGTCGGACCGCCACACGACGAAGGAGACCTACCTCCGATCGCATTGATGGGCGGGCCTCCTTGTTGTACCTGAGTAATGATACTCGAGGCGCCACCGGCGGTAGCCATGAGAAAGGTGAAGGATTGAAGTGGACTGGGTCCCTCCGAGTAAGCTGGCGGCGGCTCGGTATCGTCGTCTTTGCTCGCAGCGGCGCCCTTCTTGTCTTGAGTGAGTCCGCGCTTGGTGTCTGTGAGGGCTTGATCAAAGGAGCTTGAGGCGGGCTCGTCACAGGAGATGACAGAAGACGTGGGTGCGTATGCTGGGGCTGCTACAGAAGATCCAGCCGCTGCAACAGCTGAGCTACTATCGCAATATACGTGATGGGTACTTGCGCTAGTCTCAAAATTGCCGTAGAGAGACGAGAACGGTGGTGGACGCGAAGTTGAGGCTTCGGACGTTGGATACTGAGGAGGGGGCGAAAGTCCTCGAGCGTTGGTAGCAGAAGCAGCTTTTCCTTGCAAGTGTGGGCGTTCTTCGGCGGTCCTCTTTTCGACAGAAAGGCAATTTCCTCCTGAGAGAGGATCTGAAGGCCGGGCGGACACGGGTTCCCCGTTCCTGTCGTCTTGCGGACCTGGCAACGTTGTGGCGGTTGGAGAAGATGTTTGGTAGTCAAATCGTTGAAAGAAGTGATTTGTGGTCGACGAAAACGCTCGTTTTACACTGCCTGCGGTTGCTTTGAGCCGATGAATATCGTTGCTCGACGAGAAGGTAGGTTTGTCGACGGGCCACACAAGGAGACAGCAAGGCAGGCGTCGGGGGGAGGGGGTTTATTCGGAGATCGAACCAAGGCGTTACCGACGATAGTCGCGATGATACGACAGCAAGAATTAAAGGAAACCGACAAGTCGCAAAGCGCGGATGACTTTTTGCTATCGTCTGGCTCTGAAGCAGGCAAAGATGCTCTGTGGGAAAGGAACAGTTGGCGGTGGTGACGAGCAGGGAGTTGGGAGTAGGTCTTGTCGGAGCGGTTTGATGAGGTTGGACCAGAACATGGGAGGATGGCGGTTAAGACGTAAATGAGCGTGAACGGATCTGAAAGTGAACCGTGCTCTGGTCACTGTAGGTATAGAGTACTACAGTGGATTGATTGCACTAACTACCTACGGTTTGGAGTTAGCTCCTTCCAACCAACCCCCGTCTCTTAAACCCTGTCATTTCCTAATTACTTCTGTCCGAGATTGGAGGCCACGCTCAGGTCGGCACACCATTGCCTGTAGCCGCCCATACCATACCATCCGCTTCCTTCTGGGCAAGACAGAACGAGGCCAAGTTTGTAGAGCTTGAGGTTCACTGAGCGTAGATGAGAGGGGGTCTGCCTCGATAAACCATGCATGACCTCACGATCCCGGGCATGTAAATAGGAACGACGTGCGAGAACGTCTTCAATGGTTGTGACAGGCTGCAACGTGCGATCGAATGGGGCTGACTGGCACTTACTTTATTATTCTTCGTCGCTGCTATCACCAAAAATGGCCCTGAAGACGTTGTCGTTTGGCCTGGCCACCTCTTTGGTTGAGTCCTCGCTCCTAGATAGGTCAAGTCTAGTTTTCGTTGCTTCCCGAGAACATGCCAAATCAATGGTGGCTGCTGTATCCTGTCTTATACCCGGTGATAGGCCCATTTTGTCTGCTAAAGGCGGAAGAAGAGGTGAATGGCTCCGCATCTTGGATGCCGCTGTCGCTGTCGCTACTCCGGGCTCAACGTTTGGTTGCACGTGTGCTGGTGGCTGGACGTTGAAGCGCTTACACAGCAACCTGCCAGGGGAAAAGTCTTCGATCAGCCTCGTCATACGCCCATACATGCCCATTCTGGCGGCTTCTTCCGCTGCGCCTAGGTATGCGGGTGCTGCCGTAGCTTTTCGAACACCAACGTCTGTGGCCAATTCTGATCCGCTGCTGGTAGCAAGTTGCTTGGATCCTGCCGAGGCGGTTGTGAATCTTGTGGCCATGAAACCTGTCATCGGTTTGAAGAGCTGCGCACATCCGTAAAATTCCCCGATCTCCTTAACAAAATCATCATCTGTCATATCCGATGGCTTGATGGGAGACCCACCAAAGCCCGCGGCGCTCTGTAAGTAAAGGCGATATCGTCCACGTTTTGCGTCGTCGTTGGCATAGGGGCTTCCAGTGCTTGCCCCGCGACTTATGGCGGCGAGGGCGGTATCTTTCTGCAGACACGGTAGAGTGCGAATTCTTTCCTGAAGCTGCTGTTCGGCTGGTCCCCTAGCTTCGATCGGAGCCTCGCCTTTCGCTGGAGGCAAGTCTGTCTTCCCTGAAGCAATCGCCAGCCGCTCTCGAGAGGCTGCCGACATGTAGTCAAACACAGACTTGCCTGGCAAAGTCGATTCGCCTAGGATTGCCGCGCGAGTTTTGGGATCTAGCTTGGCTGCTTTGGCAACCTCTGCCGTCGACGTATTTGTAGAGAACGTTAGGGATGAGTTGCTCCTTGACGGTGCCCACTCAGGGGGAACCGAGGGAGGAGGATACACGTCCGTTGAGTTCCCGGTTGATTTTGAGTTTGTGAGTTGTCCGGGAACAAATCCGTTCAAAGGCCGCTTCCCATTCCCGCACCTGCCTTGTCCGCGACTTTTTGTGGTGTGGGCGGCTCTGGAAACGAAGACCGGCGTGGATCCGAGACCGGGGTTTGCAGACACACTGGTGGCTGCAAGCTTCTTCTTCTTCTTGGTCTTTTCCCCGCCTAATACTCGATTATATGAGATCCGTGGACCCATCTCATAAGGATCATCTTCTTCTGAGCCGGTGTCATTTAGGACGCCAACACCAAGACCTCCCCGCTGGCCATGCTTGCTTTTCCTCTTCTCGGATATTCCCAAAAGCACATTAAGTCCGCTAGCCGGGTCATCATCCTCTCCCTCATAAATTCCATTACCGGCCCTAGTAACTTCATTGCGGTGGTTTCCGGAGGCAGTGTGGTGCGCCCAGGCGCTACCAGAGCTAGATATTCGCGAAATCCGAGCGTCGTCGTCGTCGTTGAATCCCAGGCCTTTCTGGTCAGATTTCTGGATGAAGCTGACCATGTTGATATTTTCCGGGGCGAACATGTGCGTCTTCTCTGCCACGTGAGGCGTGTTGCCTCCCGAGATGTCGAGCCTTGCTACCCTACGAATTCTGGGCCCGATACCTTGGCCATCCTTCCAACCCATTTTTCGCAGCAACTTGAGACCTATGGTATCACCTTGAATGCGCATCAAGCTGGCTAGGCCACCGGACAGACGCTGACCAGGCGATGGAGCCCCGAGAGCCCCAAACGGATCAGTAGTTCGGATCTCCTTCGTGGCGGCTGCATCGGCAAGATCCTCATCGTCCATGTAATCCTCTGGTCTCTGATCTGGTGCCCTCGGGTCATCTTTCCGGCGAGCCGTACGGCTGGACACGAATGTCGAAGGTGTCCATCCTTCCTTTGATCCGACGGTGTTGAAATAGCTGGACAGGAATGTCAGCGAGTGAGTATTACTAAAATGAGACTCTGCCACATGAGAGCGTGAAGTAAAGCTTACCCTGCACTCCAGCCTCCAGTAAAGGCGCCATGGAGGCGCCGCCTGCCCTTGTCGTCCCTTACCTCCTGCTTGTGTAGTGGAATGTATGAGCCATCATCACGGGTATCGGCGTCTAGGGACGGCAGAGGTGTGCCAAAGGCGACGTGAACGGCGGCACCATCGTGGAGGTCGGCCTCATAAGTAGCGCGCGATCTTTTGCTGTTGAACATGTGGTTTGCAGAGGCGGTAGGTGGGCAGTGCGTGTGCGGCAAGGCTGCAAGCAACGACAGAGGAAAAGTCTCAGCCCTGTGAGGATGCAGGTTGACTTTGATACCTAGGTACTTCGGGCTTGTACGTATGTAGGTAGGCACCTTGAGCACTCTCGACGGGGTACGTTACGTAAGGTACCGTGATTGATTGGGAGGGGCCTACACTGACGAATACTCACTAAGTAAGTAGGTAGGTGAGGCAGCTTTGGGTTGTTCCTCAATGTTAGCGACTCAAGTGTTATTGACTCCGCAGTCCCTTGTCCGATTCCATTTTAACTTGAACCCTGTTCTTTGCAGGTACGTAGTGCGAATGCAATTTCCCCAAAGGCGGATAACTCCACGCGGCAGAGTCTTGGTGGCTTCTGTGGAGATGGTTTGAATGGGCCCAAGTTCAACTTGTTTTGAGGTCGGGTACTGGAATCCTTTTCAGAACGGGTACATACTGCAGGCGCGGGCTACACCAGCATGCCCGCGCATCGCAGAGGAAACAAGAGCACCTAGTCTATCTGTGCTATGAAGAGCCGTTGGAAGCAAACTGGTAAATGAATTCGTTTGGTGCTCAGATCGAATCCGTTATCACGAGGTCGCGGAGCTCCATTCGGTCCCAGGGGTCACGCCCAAAGACAATTAAGGACCAGGATCGTCAACTCGAAGGGACAGAGCTGTGAGTAATTTCACTCGATCATGTCCGTCCCGCAACCGACGACTGTCAGTCACTGCTTCGTCTGTTGTTGCAGAGACACACATGAGGTCGGCCACTCGTTAAAGATGCAAAATTGGTCGGGAGTGGCACGCCCTGGTGCTGCTGCTGCGGCTTGGAACCTGCCATCATCGGCCTGCCCTCAATTTCTCATAATCCAATGGTCGTTGTTGGAGGTGAGGGACGAGGAAGAGGCCGGGGATCTGACGTCAGGTCGTTTTGCGTACGGTCTACACTCTACACCGTCTTCATTGACAAAATACCTAGAAGTTCCGATCCTGGCCTGGGTAATATCTCAATTGCCCATTGTTCTTCGGACAACTCATGCTCCTCAAATATGCGGGCCTCGGCATGGAGTCCGACGAAAATGAGTTACGAGTTGCGACACTTGGACAATTGGACAAAGACATGCCGAGGCGAGAGGCGCCGATGTTTGAGAATTGAGCGATAACGACAGAGCACTGCAGAGTTCCTTACCTTAGATTGCCCGCTACCCGCCCGCTACCTAGACTTGGCAAGGTGCCATGAGGGAGGCGGGCGAGGTGCGTTCGTGCCTGACCTGATGCTAAGCACGATCGTAACCACCCAAGGTAGTGTGCTTCTACCCGACGGACGGCACCTGTTGACAGTCCAAATAGAGGGCAAGGTGCCCAACGGGGGGGGGGCGGATGGGAGATGCCCGGCCAAACACCAGGCGCCTGTGGTCTTCATTACCTAGGTTCCCCACTGTGTCTTGTCCCCACAGCCCGGGCAAGTTACGGTGCACCTTTCATTTCCTCCTTCCCTTCGTCCTCATCCTGCTTCTGCTCCTGCTGCCCCTCCTCCGATGCTGCACAGCACGGTTTGGCTCTTGCAGCTTTGCTTCGCTGTCGGCTCCTGTGCCAAAGGAATAGATAGATCATTGAGAGCACACGCGTAATCGAACTGGGAAAGGTGCGGACACAGCGGTCCGGTATGGAAGGTGAGGTGTCCTGTCCGTACCTTCCCCCATTAAAGATGGGTGAAGTGGTAAAGGTAGGTACTAACCTTACCCCAAGTTACGGTAAGGCAAAAGCAGGGGGTTAAGAGAAAAAGACGACAGAAAACATGGTGCTTCTCATTCGTCTCCAGCACCCAATTACCTACCTACTGCCTTACCTTGACCGCCCTCTCTTTTGGTCTCTCATCCCCGACGAATTTCCACTTTCACTTTCACGCTCGCCCTCTGCTCCCCGTCGTCCGTTGTTCGCTTGTCCCGTGTTCCGTCCCTTCTCGCTCGTCTTGCCTGCCCGCCTGCACCAGATCCAGCGAACCCTCGCTCTGTGTGGTGTCGCATCCCCCCTCCTGCAATGACAACAGCAATCCCGGCGAGCTCTGATCCCTCTGCACATGCTCAAACAGTCCCTGCCCGCGCACCATCGACCAGGACACGGCCTTCAGTCTCCGCCTCTGGACCTCATCCTCAGCGCACCTCCTCCACCTCCAACCACTCCTACTCCCACCACCATCACCATCGCAGCCACAGCCAACAAAAACACCACCAACAACACCGTTCACATTCGCGACAGTCTTCCTCTGCCGCTGCCGCCCCCCGCACCTCTCAGGACAATTCTCCTAAACATGATTATGAGCATGCAAACATAGCCTCCTACCCCAAACGACCCGCCTCCAAAGACCATCCGCCGCCCTCTCACTCCCGCGCCGACGCCTCGCGCACTCAGCGTCACGGCAGCACCAGATCTAATCATCATCCGAGTCGAACCTCCAACGACATGCCTGCAAATACCGCCGTTGCCAATAACGCTGGTCCTGCTCCTGTTGCCCATGGCGCAACCGACCCTCGGAGCCCTACGGGCGCCTCCTCCGCTTCCGCCTCCGCTTCCAAGCATAGCAGGTCGCGCACAACAATCCCTACGCCATCCGGGAAATGGATCCTGGGTAAGACAGTCGGTGCTGGGAGCATGGGCAAAGTGAAGTTGGCCCGTAAGGAGGACACTGGCGAGCAGGTTAGTCTGGCCCCTTCAGATGCTAACCCCTTTCTCAAATACTGCTCACTTCCCATCGCCTGCAACCAGTCAGCTGAGTCACGATACACAGTTGCTAATCTCTCCTTCATCTTATCATTAGGTTGCTTGCAAAATCATTCCACGTGGCTCAACAGAAGATGGGCACCACTCTCGAGCAGATAAGGAGAGAGCAGATCAATCAAAGGAAATCAGGACTGCCCGTGAGGCGGCTATCGTCACGCTTCTCAGTCATCCTCACATTTGTGGCATGAGAGACGTCGTCCGAACCAACTATCATTGGTACATGCTTTGCGAATACGTCAATGGCGGCCAAATGCTTGACTACATCATCTCTCATGGCAAATTGAAGGAGAAGCAAGCGCGCAAGTTCAGCCGTCAAATCGCGAGCGCCCTGGACTATTGCCATCGCAACAGCATTGTCCATCGCGATCTCAAAATCGAAAACATTCTCATCAGCAAGACCGGCGACATCAAAATTATCGATTTCGGTCTTAGCAACCTCTTCGCGCCTCGTACTCATCTCAAAACCTTCTGTGGAAGTCTTTACTTTGCAGCTCCCGAGTTGCTCCAGGCAAGAGCTTACACGGGCCCTGAGGTTGACATATGGAGCTTCGGCATTGTTCTTTACGTGTTGGTGTGCGGTAAGGTACCATTCGACGATCAAAGCATGCCCGCCCTCCACGCCAAGATCAAGAAGGGGCTAGTTGACTATCCGAATTGGCTTTCGAGTGGTACGTTTTCTTGTCCCCTCTCTTTCTCCTTTTCACATCTTAGAGTTCTAACGTGCTGCAGAATGCAAGCATCTGCTATCCCGTATGCTCGTGACCGATCCAAAACAACGTGCCACCATGTTGGAGGTTATGAGCCATCCATGGATGACCAAGGGATACAACGGCCCGCCCGACAATCACTTGCCACCCCGTGAACCCTTGACTCTTCCTCTAGACTCGGACGTAGTCAACGCCATGACCGGGTTTAATTTCGGTCCTCCGGATTCTATCAAGGCACAGTTGGTTCGAACAATCGAATCCGAGGAGTATCAACGTGCCGTACGTCTGTACCAGCGGGAAAAGGACCTTCCCCAGCCAGCCAAGGACGTCGAGAAGAAGCGGGGTTTTGGCTTTGACTTTTACAAGAGAAGAAATTCGGGCAATAGCCGCGACACACTGACGGCCCCAAGCTCCGAGGCTCTTCAGCTTGGCAACGATCCGCTAAATGCGTTTAGTCCGCTTGTTTCGATATACTATTTGGTGCGGGAGAAGCAAGACCGTGACCGCGCTGAACGGAATCCTGGAGTGCAAAGCACGCCCAAGGAGAAGCCACCCATCCCAGAGATTACACCACCACAAGAAGCACACACCAACACGGCGGCTTATGAAATGCCTGGTGAGAGGGCCACCGGTGGTCGGTCCCGTCCCCGTGCCAGGACTCATGGAGAAGACGAAGCACCTGACTCCGTGAAGGCTTCCCAGCTCTCACCAAACGCCCCGCTGTCCCCAGAAGTGCCTCCTGAGCCCTTGCCAAAGAAGGAAAGCACCGCTGCCGGTATACTGCGACGTTTTAGCACACGAAGACGCAAAGACCCGGAGCGGCTGGATAAGGACCGCTCTCACCCTCCAGTGGTCCAAGTTCATTCCCCATCTGGTGGTGCTTCAGCCGAGACAACCCCGTCCTCTGTGCCGAGAAAGAGTTTCAGCATTCGACGCGGCAGACGGGAGCGCGAGGAACCTATGCCCCTGCCGTTGCGGTCTGGCAGCAGTCAGCCGCAGCACAGCGATCTCCTCAGCCCGCCTCTTTCCGCAGGGGGCCCGTCGTCACGCCGGAAAGGTCTGGGTCGATCCACGAGCGTAAACTCGGCAGACCTTCGTCGCCGCGGATCGACTAGGACTGAAAAAGATCCACCGCCGACCAGTGGGTCAGATCAATCGACGACAACTGCTGACAGGCCTCCGCCAGCATCACGAGATGGTCAACAGTCTCGCGCAGCGTCGATGAGAGCCAAGTCCCTCGGACATGCGAGGCGTGAGAGCATTCAGCAACGAAGACTCCGGCGGGAAGAGGCACGGGAGGCCAATGTCCCGGAAGAAACCGACCAAGAGCAGGGAGATCAGAGTGGTGTATCGACGGACAGGTTGGACAGGTCCGATCTAGCCAAACCAGTTTTTTTGAAGGGATTGTTCAGTGTGTCAACAACGTCGACAAAGAATGTCACCGAGATTAGGGCCGACATCAAGCGCGTTTTGAAAGGTCTGGGAGTAGACTACATAGAGATCAAGGGTGGCTTCACATGCAAGCACACACCAAGCATAGATCTCAAGAGGGTTCAGGATCCTCCCGGTAGCCCTGGCCAAGCACCACCTGGCCACAGACGGCGATTCAGCCTAGGCGGGATGAGAGGCGGTGACCGAGAACGAGACGACCTCCCCAGCACAGATCGGGGACCATCAACACCCCGAGGCACAGGCAGGAACGGGGCAGACAGCTACTCAAACTCAGACGTCTCGATCGACAGCGTCTCTCGCGAAGCAGGAGGCTCGTCCAGAAGAGTGCCAGGCGAGACAAGCACCCATGTCCAGAGCGACCTCGGCGGAAACATGGTTTTGGAGTTTGAGATATTCATTGTGAAGGTCCCGTTGCTATCGCTGCATGGCATTCAGTTTAAGCGCTTGGTTGGCAACACTTGGCAATACAAGAATATGGCCGACCAGGTGCTCCGAGAGCTTCGTCTTTAAAAGGGGGCAGAGTGGCTACATGCAGTCAAAGGGTGGGCAACATACTCGGGAAGGCCTTTGCCAGCTTTCATTGGAGGCAGGGTTGAGTAGGGGACAAAAACATCGTCTGGATCCAATCTCTTGCATCACTTTTCCCCGATCCCGGGATTTTCTTCCGTTTCTCTTTCCGGCCGCAGTCATACTTTGAGCGGCTGTCAGTCTTTCTGACATTTGGGTGCGGTAGCTAGCAGAAAGATAGACGCTGTTTGAATAGGCGCTTAGTGAGATTTAGCAGCGATGTCAGGGAGAGGAGTCTTAAAAGGCGACAGTTGGCAAGAATAAATAGTCGTACACGGAATCAGTAGTAGTCCAAAATTTTATTCTGCAAAGGCCAGCCTCGACGATTCTGACCATGGGCAAGAAAGTCCGAGGCAAGTATGGATCTAGTAGTGCATACCTTACTCTTACTATCCATGCCGAGTTAGCTGAGGTGGTACAGAGACCAATACCGTGGCCGTACCTCAACGTACCTACGTTACCTTAAAGTAGACAACCAGTACCCACCGCCTTCCCAAAATGGACGTGCATTACCTAAGGTAAGCTATGGCAGCCAGCCTTGTTTCCTGTCCACACTGCAATACTGATTAACGTTGTTTAACCACGACGACTTCCTGACGCCCACCAAAGAGCCTAACGCCAGTCCGATCACTCTTGCGCAACCACCATTGCCCATCACCCATCGCCACCTTCGCTGTCGCTTGTCCGCTCGCTGCCGCTGTTATCGAGAAGGGATCATATTCTTTGCGACAACCGTTCGTTGCGATTCCAACAGCCTAGTCCCACGCGCACCCAACCCCACCCCAGTCCGCCCCACGACTACACCCCAATTGTCGCACGTCGACACATCAGCCATTCAAGACTCAACCAGCCATCGAAAACGACATTGTCGATAATAACGCGGCAGAGCAGTGAAAACACCACACTCACAGTCGGACGCAGAACTCGAGTCGGCGTCAGCCTTGAACATTCTATCCGGCCTATTTTTCTTCCTATTCCACAGAACGTATCAGTCTAGGGTCAAAGATGATGCCGACTGCTCACGTGTACGGCGGCCACCACCAGTTCAATCCACAAGCGGACTCGGCCGCATGGATGCACCAGCAGTCGAATCAGCACCATCATGCACAGCAAGCTGCCGCCGTCGCCGCCTCGGCTGTCCAGCAACAGCAGCAACAGCAACATCAGCAGCAACAGCAGCACTACAGTAGACTTGCCGGTGCTCACTCCGCCGTCAGCTCCCTAGCCAATGCCCATACACAGGACGGCGGCCACGATAACATATCTGAGGATAATCGGAGGACGATGTCTTACATTGCTGATCTGTTGAACGAAAGTACTCGGGAGGCCGCTCTCTTGGAGCTGAGCAAGAAGCGAGAGCAAGTCCCAGAGTTGGCTCTCATTCTTTGGCACTCTTTCGGTAAGTGATAATGGCTTGTGCCTGTTACCAGGCTGGGATACTATACGAGCTGACACTCGACGCAGGAGTTATGACTTCTTTGTTGCAGGAGATCATCTCAGTCTACACCCTACTAAACCCATCCCAGCTCACAGCCGCAGCTTCTAATCGGGTATGCAATGCGCTGGCACTTCTCCAGTGCGTTGCTTCCCACAACGACACACGCACACTTTTCTTGAATGGTGAGCATCACCACTGCGATACTCCCTTCGACACTACCCCTTTCCAGCCTGCTGACCCTAATCCAGCTCACATCCCCCTGTTTCTCTATCCGTTCCTGAACACGACATCGAAATCAAGGCCCTTCGAGTACCTACGTCTGACCTCGCTTGGCGTTATCGGCGCCCTCGTGAAGAACGATTCATCCGAGGTCATCAATTTTCTCTTAACCACAGAGATTATCCCCTTGTGCCTGCGTATCATGGAGACAGGCTCCGAGCTGAGCAAGACAGTGGCTATCTTCATCGTTCAGAAAATCCTGCTGGATGATAATGGTCTCAACTACATCTGCGCCACATATGAACGATTCTACGCGGTAGGAACTGTTCTGAGCAATATGGTTGCTCAACTAGTCGAGCAACAGACGGCTCGCTTGCTCAAGCATGTCGTCAGGTGTTTCCTTCGGTGAGTTTGTCGGTCAGCATGGGTGGATTTGGGCTTACCAACGGTCAACCAATAGACTGAGTGACAACGCTCGAGCACGCGAAGCTCTTCGCCAATGCCTCCCGGAGCCTCTCCGAGATGCGACATTTTCTTCGGTCTTGCGTGACGACGCTGCAACAAAGAGATGTCTGGCACAATTGCTCATCAATCTTTCCGACAATGTCGTCGAAACCGGACAAGGAGGTCATGTCGGCGGCCTTTGAAGCCGTGGCCAATACAAGAACGTGTGTGGACCAATAAGGAATCATGCATAAGTCGGGGACTAGGAGGTCAGTCATTTCATCGAAAAAGCGCAAAGCGTCGTGGACATATTGATACCCGCTTCCTTTGCCCTATGTTCGGGCATCTCAGGTTGATCTGGAGTGCGTCTTCGACACCGAGTCTTTCTTTCTTATATCATCTGTAGCATCGAAGGGGCGGATAAAAAGCAAGGGTTTTCGTTTGGAGCTGGCGACATGGGGTGTCATGTCATTTGATTATAGGGATCACCTGGACCTTGGGATGGCGCTGGAGGATGGTATCATGGTATCTACCGCTGGACACTGGTGCTCTTGCTGGCGTTTCCCTCCCTTCCCAGCGGTAGCGAGTGTCGACTTTGGCTTTTCTCAGACGGCGAGCTTGTTCACATGTCTTCGACGCCGCCAGTAAGTGATACGTAATGGAGTTCACACTGCCCGAGTTTTCCTGTGTATGTATATATATCATGGACCGGGGCTGGGCCGGTGAGCTGGAACGTTTTAGCACTCAACACAAGCACTGTCAGTGACCTCTTGACGTCCCACCAGCTGTATCGTTTGAGCCTGAAGTTGGAGTCGTGGTGAACATACAGCATCGAATGGTGGCAGATACGGAGCATCTTGCCATATCCCAATTGTATAAGCATGAATTCGCAGTCATGGCCATAACCTCTTTGGGGGGGTTTTTTTCCTGCGACTAACATGGCGCTTGCCTGTGCCTAAGTACCCCTGCTCTTTGTCGCCTGTTTCTACCGGATTGCTCTGAAGCAAATATTGGCGGTCCTCCCAATGCAGGGGCAGTAGTAGGTGGAACATGGGACATGCCAACCAAACACAACAGCCTTGGTCACAAGGTCAACGGCACCGGCAGGGCCATTTCTAGGGACAATTTCGACACAGATATATAGTTAATGATTCAAATTAATGAACCAAGATCGCAAGCGGCGCCAGCTAGACTTGGGCGACCCCGACCGGCCGGTTGAAATGAATGTGACTTAGGGGTAAAAAAGCAGATACCTTGCTCTTCGTAAAGGACTCACAAAGTTCACCTGATACGCAGGCATTGTGCAAGTGAACTTCGTGGGTTAGTTCAAACCTATCCTCTTACGAAAGAACCTAATACCTGTTGTAAACATACTCCTGGTTTATGATGTGAAGCTGCTCGATTGGAAAGACCTCGCCAGTGAATGGCATTGTAATCAACCGGACACTCTTGGCAGGAATGAAATGCCTGTGAATCATGTGGGAAAAGCTCGTCGCCGAGTGGCAATACCGGCATATGAACGCGACCAGTATAGCAGCCTACTTCCAACAGCTTCCTTGTGGGCTCTAAACCTTTATACCGCCGTTCCTAGGCTTTAACACAACTACTACAGGCCCAGGAAGATCATCTAGACCACCAATACAGACGCTAGCAATAAACGGGTAATCAACGAGACGCGAGTTACTTCGGCGGGTGCAACAACCTATTCAGACGGTTCATATATGACCATCTACGGCTCCTAAACACCGTTGACTAGCCTTTGTAATACATCGTCAACACGCGGGAACAGTGCTCGCAATTAAGTTCGCACTTCCTGCGAAGTGTTACATACCGAACACGGCTCCTTCTTGTCAATGCCAATTTCGAGACTCGGCAGGAGAGAAGCCACCGTCTGTCTGCCCCCGCAACCAGAGCCATTTTCCATGGCCCTCAGTGATGCACATTACATTACTCAGCCGAACCCGAGGCTATCCAAGCGCTCAAGGAAGCATACAAATGGCCGGCGTGTCGAAGCTCCATGGTGTGTCTATACGGTATAGTTCTGAGGTAATCCGGGAGCCAAGAGGTACTTCCGTAGCGTTGGAACCAATCGTCTCAGGTACAAAAAGACCAATGGGCGGGAAATGATCATACGGGCAGCCAACCATCAACCCCCTTTCTAAGGCTGGTGGTTAACAGAGGGCCATGCGGGATGAGCTGCGAGGTCCTTTGGGTAATCCTAGCAAGGCCCTGGATCCATTGGAGCACAGCAGACCTATCAGTGAGTCCCACAGGCGGTGATACCTACTGCGTAGTCCGTATTTCATGAGCGCAGTAGAGGACCTGTGTACGTCACGCTGCTAAACAAGCAGTCGGCAAAGGGTAGGTGTTCTCCAAGGAATCAGAGACAACGTGCGGGAATAGCCGGGGAATCACCGAGAGATGGAAAGCTAGCGGGAGCCTGATGGGAAGAGCTTACAAATAGTCCATAGCCGGACCTTGAACACCCACGTCTGGCTTTTTGCCCACCTTCCTTCCTAAAGGCCCAATTCGCCCTCAGCCGTGTGCTAGGGAGCAGGCAGCCCTACGCGGTTCGTTGGCTGAGATTCGATGTTACACAAGGTCCCTTCTCAACCATCCCAAAGCCCGTGGTCCTAACGCTGCGAAGCCGTCGTTCCGCAACTTGGAGGAGGAGGGCAGGCTGTCTAACTACCCCATGGTTACACAAGACACTGGCTGCCCGGGCCTGGTGATCCTTTCGTGTGTATGTGTACTTTGGCACGCGCTGGTGGTGTCGGCGCACAGTAGTACAGCAGGTTGCAGGTTGCAGGTTGCAGGTGCAAGTGGAAGGATTGAAGAGCGGGGAGGATACATGCCTCCCGTCTAGTGTACTTCCGTTCCCTACGGATACCTAAGGCACCTAGATGCCTAATTACCTTGGCCACCTGCACACCACCCTACTAAGTAGCCCGCTCCTTGCTCCCGCTCTTTCTGCCACCAAAGCGTTCAAGTCCACTGCCAAAACTCATCTCAACTGGCGGACTCGACGTTGATTGGAGGGCTCGTCCTCCTCTACGCCTCTCCGCGTCCATGTCTCCGTCTCTGCTTTTGTGCCCACACTTCACTGCACCACATCACAATTGACATCATGGTCTCGCACTGGAGAGGCGACCCTGCGCGACCCGCACTAGCGGCCGATGTTTTTCGATCGGGGGCCATTGTGGCTCCTCCGGATCTTTTCGAGAGCATTTCCTGCCAAATATGTAGCCACTCACAGGTCGTGCGTCGCATCTTTGATACGTACATGGCCAGGCTGAATGCTAGGCTTTCAGCCATCGCTCGAGTTGGCCCGGCATTTTGCGCACCACGGACTGGACCGAGAATGAACAAGTACGGCAAACCTCAGGAGGCAATGTCCAACGTATCGTCAAATGCCTCTCACCGCTACGATCGGCCGGGTCACAGGAGTGGACACTACCGCTACCGACCACGTAACTCGGATGCGCGAAAGCTGAGCCGGCTAGGCCAAGTCGGCTCGGGTACGGTAGCCCGGAGGCTCCCGCACAGCGTACATCGACAGGTCGAGTATTGCGGCTTGCTTCATAAGGAAACTCGGATTAGTGTGGTTCGCAGCCAGCCCCGTTAAATCCGATCAGGCTCGGACTCCATCGCGGCCGCCGTCTGACGACAACGGAAGGGCGTGGCACGCGAATTCACCGGCAAGCACACGTTCGAACCGCCGAGATAAGCTCTTGTATACGAGCACCCCGAGCAACCCGAAGCTCTTTGCAAGGCGCGTGCGGTATCCTTGCTACCAGGGTGAGTATGTAGGCTTGTAAAGGTAGAATCAAGGACTATGGGATGAGAAACGATACTCACTGTCCAAGTACCTCACTACTTGGCCTCGCAAGTGCACCGTTCCTCTCAATGGAGAGCTTCTTTGCACCCTGCAGCTGAGACCTGCAGCCGCAGATAGCATCATGTCCTGATACCCGGACTAGCGAACTTGGGGTTGCACAACATTACGTACGTGCCTCTACGAATACTCGAGCCTATCAACGTCGTCCAGCGATGCGTCTTCAGCCCTATGGCCCCTTGCTATCGGCGGCGTCACCGAAGCTTGGCAGCTACACCCAAGCACCTCTAGTCCCCGTGGTCAAGCCCGTGTTGCTCCGCCCCTGATAGAGCGAGGTATCTTTCTGCTGACGAACTATGCCAGCTACATTCCAAACACGCAAGGCTCACAAATTGAAAGGCCTGGTGTACTCCTCCATTTGAGGAGCACGGAGCGATGACCGTTTAGGCTCATGTTCGTACAGCAACTCCGCCTTTTCCCTCCCTCACTAGCAACATCAACACGAACTCACACTCCGCACCCTGTGCTGTTTCGATTCACCATCCATAACGAATAGCCGAGAGGACTTCACAACTTGATCAAGCGAAAAGAGGCCCATTTCCGTCCCCGTTCAAGTCAATTCGCCTGTGTCGTGCCAGGAGGCTGCACTCAACAGTCTGAATGCCGCCTGTGAAAACAGCAGAGGGTTTCATACGTCATGTGCTCCTCTACCAGGGCAAGCACGCCTCCTGCCTCACATGCCGCCTAGGTAGGGAGGGACGCTACATGCGACTGGATGCGCAATATGCGGATCACGGTCACTTGTTGGCCGATGTCAGCTGGTGTCTTGATATGCGATTTAGATAGCCACACCGCCAGAAAGATGCTGAGTTGCACATGTCTTCAATTGTAAGTTGAGCACGTTGACCAGCTGCCTCGATGGCGTGCGCGCAGCGCGGAGAGGAGAGAGCATGCCGTGTAGCCCCACTCTCGTGAGCTTCCAGAATGATACGACGATGCATATCGTCAACCACACGTTGCATCTGCGCGACTGTCCAACTGCCCACGTTTTTTGCTTGGTTTGTAGTATACGCAAGACACAAGAGCACGTGTGTGCATGCGTCGGCTGGTGGCGGAGGAACTGCTCTTAT